CAGAAACAAGTCCTACTTAGAAAGTAATTTCATTTTAAAATGACTCATGCATAATTTTCAAGACTTGGAGGAAGTGTATGACACTAATCATTTTCTCAGCAAATTATTAACCATGTTCCAGGTAGCACTGTAAAATGAGGCACACAGGACCTGTGTGCTCTGTCGTGGGTGTGTCGTCCCCACTGTCTGACTGCAGGGAACCTGTTGCAGCAAAACTGCTAAAATCACAAGGAACTTGCACAGTGAATTTCAGTGGCTCTAGGCAAAAAACACAAAACATTACCTTGATGATCTCACATTTGTGATTACAGAGGATAAATGCAGAAGTATTTCAGGCCCCTATGTGAGGTGGTCACTGAGGGAGGAGTGGGACTTGCTGCAAGATCTGTGGGAGATTTCTGGAGTGACAGTACCAGGAGGGGCAGGTGGGGAAGCTGTCAGGTTGCACACTAACATCATGAGCTCTCTGGTCATGCTGTGTACCAAGATTCACCCTTTTTCCTACAGCCATCCCTACCCTGCATTGCATCCCTACACCTGGCTCGTGGTCCCTTCTGGGAGCAATGGCAGAAACACAGGCTTCTCCACAGCTTTCTGAAGCATAGTGAAGAGAATGACGTGCTATTCCCTTTTTTTAACTGCAGGGGGTTACATTTAGAGAATTAGAAGTCACTCTATAAACCTCCCACAGAGTCTGCTATGTTTAAAAGTGCTGGCAGTGTATGACCAGCAATGTGACATTTTAGCAAGATTTTAACACAAGATGCCACCAGTGTCTTGGGTCCTTCTGCAAACCTACTGTTGCATGGGTTCTACAAGTGAGAAAACACAAAAGAAAGTGTTTTGTTCTGTCCTCTCTCCTGTGCTACCACAATGAACTAGAACTGATGGGACTGCAGGCAAGGCAGACAGGTCTCATTAAATATTATTTAATGCACTTGGAAGCCACATCTGACAAAACCTACAGTGTGCTGAACACCACCTTAGCCCACAGCATTTGCCCTCCTAACTGAGCAATGAGTTAGTCCAGGAAAAGAGCTGGAGGAGACCCAGCCCCAGAGCCCACAGTGGCACTTATCTCCTGTGCTTGTGAGTCAGACACAGGAATGGTTTGCATGATGCTTTCAGCTCAATGGTCTTCAGAGGTTGCAAGAAATGAGTTGCAGGGCTCACTTTTGGAGAGTCAATAGTTTATTAGTCCAGGGATCTCATCAGTACATTGTCTCCTCTCTGCATGCCACAGCTTTCTCTGAAATGCCTTCCCAGGGAGAAGGAGCTGTAGCAGATTGTAAAGAGGCAGAATTCAACTGCTTCCTTCCTCTGCAGCAGCCCCCTGTAGGTCCCCTATCTTCACCAGCACTGCTCCTGTAAGGAGCCCTTTCTCCCCTTTGTACCTGAGCCCCAAAAAGCCCAAGAGAGAGAACTCAGGTCTTTATGGCTTTCCATGGGGTTGCTGTTGAGAGGCTTGTATATGTGAGGGTCAAATGCACAGTACATCCAGTGATTTAATTGAAAATATCTTTCTTTTACTTAACTAAATTTTATCAATAATTCTCCCAAATCCAAAATCCTGTAGCACCATGCAAATCCACATAGTGCCATAATAATGAGTTGTTTTCTCACAAAGCATAAGTAAACTTTTCTTCATGCAGTTCATCTGTCACGATTAAAGATTACAGAGCTGGACATGCTCTGTAATTCCTCTTACAAATCTGATCTTTCTTCTTGAAGAGAGATTTTTATAACAGCTATTTCACTATAATTGGCATTTTGTGTGTTCTTAGACTTCTTTTTTTTCTGTACTTATTTTCTTTTATTTTATTTGGACTCTGTGAGTTTTGCTGTTTTGGCCTTGGTGCTCTCAGTGCTGTGACTCACGTATTCCACAGCCACTGCCAAATCTCTGGGTCCAGCACTGAAATTATCACATTAGGATCTGTCATTGTAGCCCTGACTTCATAAATAGCAAACAGTGATTAGAATTGCTGATTGATCCATTCCACAGTATTGGACACTCACATCTGAGATGAACAGAGGGACTGTTAAAGATATTGAAGACTTGAAATGTCAGCATTCCAGAGTAAATTAGTATTAATCAGTCATTGCAGGTACACTAGCTCTTATATATAGTAAGAGTTGCTGTATTTGGTAATCTGGTGATGATCAGCTAAAACCATGACTCACATTAATCTCATGAGCTGCAAGGGAAAGCCCCAGCCCTTCCTCCATGCCCAGCTTGCTGCAGCCATTTGGATCAGAGCATAAGCCTGGGTTCCTTTAGGTGGAACTCACAGTGCCCTTCAGGAGTGCATCTCAGGCACTGCAGTCCCAGGTGGACATTCAATCCACAGGACCAGACCAGGTTCAAATCAAGAAAAGCCCTGAAATGCACAAAGTGTAGATGCTCAGGCCCAGCTCTCTCACTCCACATCCACAGCTCAGAAATAACACACCCTGTGGTGTCTGAGCTCCAGCTCCATGGAGGAGATGCTGCTGCTTGTGGACTTTCACCCAAGCATGGAGCCTGCAGGGTGAACCAAGGGGCTGTGAGAGGTTGCCTGGGACAGGAAAGGTGGAGCCATGTGTTTAAATTGTTTTGGTCCAAGGGCAGTACTGTGCTGTACAAAGACCAGCAGCAGCCCCAGAAGATAGAACTGCAGTGATGACTGCTTGCTGTGAACAGGAAAAGTCAGGTGGCATGCCATGCCCACTGCACAGCTCTTTGTGGCAGCTTGTGACATCTCAGGGGAATGGGCCTACCTCACTGGATTTTTTTCTTTGAAAAATCGTATGTTTTAGAAAGAAATTCTGTTATCTTGGAAGGAGTGGAAGAAGATGAGCAAGGATATGAAAACTTATGGGGCAATTCCAAATTTTTGTCATGCCATCAATGTATCCTGATATCATAATGATGTTATGAACATATGAACATGTATGAACCCTTTTATTCCTAAGGGCTGTATATATGATCAACATTGCATTTCTTCAAAACCTGCTTGGTTTAGATTTGTAGCTTGACAGATACAGAATAAACTAAGGAAATGTGCTGCTTGCTTAAAGCTATACTTTCATTTCATAAATATAATCTTAAAAATTAATTTGTGCCATTTTTTTTTTTATTTTTGAATGGGGGAAAGGTTCTGAGAGTTTAAAAGTTCTGAAAACTAAATTCTCTAGACTGCTCTGGGCTGACCTTAGATTGCATGCTGACAGCTCAAAAGCATTCATCCAAAATGCAGCAACATGGATCTTGTCTGTGCTCATTTCCAAAGGGTTTTTTTCTGTTGTTGTCAACACTTTATTCTAGATCAGAAATTTCCTTCCAGGGAGATCTTAATACCACACAAGCATTGAGTCATTCTGTAATGGGATGTTATACCCCTAGAGAACTGCTAGAAGTCATCTCCTCAGCAGAGGAAATTGTGGGCAAACACTCAGCAGGCTCATTCTGGTCCAGAGCATTTGGTACATGAAAACTGCAGCCCAAAATGGGGAATCCAAGTTTCACCTTGTTGGTGTTGCACGTTTTTGGCTTCATCATCTGGGAAGATGAGCTGCCAGGCTGGAGATTTGGCTTTTCTGAGTCACCAGAAAATGCAATGACTGTACCTCTGACCAGCATAGCCAAGAGGAAAATAGCACAAATATGCCCAACAGCAAGTGAGGATTAGGGCACACCATGCCAGCCACCTGCTTTCTGTCCATTTCACTTCTCTTCATCTCCAAAACTGGGGTAACAGTACTCATCTACATTTCTAAAGTGTTTCTAGGCTAAAAGCCAAACACCTTTGCTAGAAGTGATTTATTTTTAACTCTGTCACCCCAACCCCATTTTTATGTGAGGGATATTGTGCACTTGTCTTTGAGGCTCCTGGTGCTTCCTGCCTTGAGATGCTAGGTTGCTATGTAACCTGTGCTCAGAGAGGTAAGGAGTCCTCACTGCACCTCTCAAGAAGCAAACTTGCCCAGCATGCACAATCTTTTCTCTACTTGAAAACATTCTTAGGGATTTTATACTGAGGCTCAAAGGCAGTCATATATTTTATTTATTTTATTACAAGGCATGTAAGTAAAAACTTGCATATCTGAAAAAAGATATTAGATAGAAAACAGTAATAAAATTAACATTATTATCTTAAGAAAATTGGTAATAAATACATTTTCCCCTCAACATTAAAATGCTTGTTATTTTGCACAACAATAAATACAGCATAGCTCTGGCATAGAGAAAGGCCAAGGATGGATACAAGAAGTCCACGTGGTGGCATAAAAAAGCTCAGGTGATTTTTAAAGGTTTGGCATCCTGCACTTGATGCACTTTGATACAACTTGCACTTTAATTTTAATTTTACTATGATTTTTAAACAGTCCCATAATATGAAAACATGAGAGGAAAATTTGTTTGACTGTAGGAATTTTCCTTTAAATATTTTCAAAGTAAGAGATGTGTAAACTCACTGAAACTAATTCTCAAAATAAAGAAAAAATACCAAACAGTTGTCATTGTGGTTATTCTACAAATGCTTTTTTTTTCAGCTGTGGGTGCTGAAGCCTGACCAGACAACTGACAAGGGACCAATCTCCAGTCAGTTCCTCAATTCTTTACACATTTTTTAAAAAGAAATATTACTAGCAAGGAGAAAGAGTAAAGACAGTAGTATTCACTTCCCAAGTTATGGCGTTTGAGGTTCTTACACTATTATCCAAAGGTGAGAGGAGAAAGAACAGGTGTATTCCAGAACAGCTCCCAGCATAACTTTGGGTCATTCTGGTCTATGCTTTTCTTTTAAAACTACTGACAAAAAAAAAATCAGAAAAAAAAAAAAAGGAAGAGCTATTTCCATGCACTGTGCTGTTCTTATGCCAGCACATATCATCACAATCACAGCTGTGAACCTAAGTCACTGATAGCCCAATCTAATATAGATTGATTGATTGTCCTATGACAAAGTTAGATAATGTCCGCAAAATGCCACAAGCTCTGGCAGAGTCCAGTGTTCTTAAAGTACTGAGAGGTCATGGCAAGACTTGGACTTGAGTTTGAAGGCCATGTTCTTGTTGTTCTTGGCAACTATTTTGCCCCAAAACCGCCTGGCTTTCTTGGGGATGCTCTCTCTCCGTTTCTGTAGCGCCAGGCGCTTCTCGTTCTTTTCCTTGCTGTCCCTGCGGAGCCGGACTTGCCGCACGATGCCCTCGAAGAGCTCCTTCACGTTGTGCTGCACAGCTGCTGAGGTCTCGATGAACTTGCAGTCAAACACCACGGCACAGGCTCGCCCCTCTGCAAAATCCCAAGGTGGGAACATTACATGGGGGCACAGGGCCCACGGGGAGCAGGGACAAGCTGCCATGTGCAGGGAGTCAGAGCCACCGGGGAATTCCTCAAGCCCAATATAGGCACAGATAAGTCTTTAATCACCTGGTGCTGCCTGCTAGCCCAGGATCCATCTGCCCTGTGTCACAGCTGCTCCCCAGAGGGAGTGGGGGGTGTACGGGGGGTAAATCCCCTCCCAGTAAAGCCCAGCCCGCAGTGCTGGCTGTGAAGATAGCGCAGAATGATGAACTTGAGCCACTGAGACACTGAAGGCTGGGAGGCCAGCAATGCCTCAACACCACCTGACCATCTGCAATGCACACTCCCTCAAGCTGATGATGGCACTCTCCAGGCATACAGCACAGCACTGGAGGCAGAGCACTTTCCTCCTTCAAGGGCCATGGGTGTAAACCACAGCCCTAGAACTGTGACAATTTCAGTGAGAACAGACACATGTACAAAACCCTTAACAAAGGATGTCTATGGCTTTAGGGGTGCATCTGAAGTCATAGTTCTTATTCTCAAATACATGAGCCTAAGCTAAACCTGACAGCTGTCTTACACACAAGCCAATTTCTGGCTTGCTGTGAATTCATTGCCAGGGCCATTAAAGTGACATGGATTCACCTGCCATCTTTCTAAGGAACTTTCAATCTGGGCAAAGAGGAATGAGAAGGCCACCCTGGGCTCCCTATGAACCCCTCAGTTCAAGCTCTTCACTTGGGGCAGCTGTGACAGGAGCCAGAGGAACTGCACACATCCACAAAGCAAAGAAAAAAGTCTAGCTCAACTGGGAAACAGAAGAGCAGAACAGCTGCAGAGAGAGGAAAATGCTGAGGAGAAGATCCCATGTTTCTGATGGGCCAAGATAAGAACATCTAATGCATGGCTGTGTACTACAGTGTGCCACCTCAGCCCCAGGGAAGACTTTCCAAGAAGATATTTTACTGGCTGCAGATGTTGAGAGTCAGCAGCAGTGCTCCCAACAATAACTCCATTCCTATTTATGGGCTTAGTGGTTCCTCGTTTGTTTGCAGCCAAAGGAAGGCTGATTTAGCATCCCAAAGCAAGGCAGTAAGGAGACCTCTTCTAAAAGGCTGCACAGTTCCTGCCTAGACTAGCAAAACAAAGATGGAGAGGGAATTTTAATTCGTCAGGGAGGATGGAGAACTGGTTATAAAGAAGAGAATTTTTGGCAGCAGAATAAAGGGGGCTAAACTTGTTATGCATAAACATGCATTGGGAATACAAAGGATTTCCAGCTACCAGAGAAATCACATATTGTAGTGGTCTTACACTAGGAGCTGGAAGGGAAGAAATCCCATTTATGATGGTACTTAATAAATATAGAAAAGGGATCATCTGATATATAACAGTATTACTAAGGAAGGCTTAGGGATCTGGCAGACCCTACCCAGTCCTCTGCCCTCTGTTCCAGTCTTCTTTTATTTTATTACTCTTTTATTGCCTAGTCCTGATCACAATGTACTCCCTCAGCCAGAGCACTGCAGTTTGTCCAAAAGCGACTAGATGACTTTTAATGTTTATCTCGGGTTTATGCTCATAATTTCCTTACCTGCCACTGAAACTTCACGGCACCTGACAAGGTCACTTTTGTTGCCAACCAAAATAATGGGGATATCTTCTTTCTGGCGTGCCCTGCGGAGCTGTATCCTGAGCTCAGAGGCCTTCTCAAAGCTTGCCCGGTCTGTGATGGAGTAGACGATCAAGTAGGCGTCTCCCACTTGCATGCAGTGCTCTCGAATCCATTCTCCCTCTCGCTGTTCAAATTAAATGGTCAGACATCATTATGCCCAGAGCAGATTTTACTTAGAAAGTAAAACATTAGAGAATCCAAATGCATTCCTGCTCTAAACTGTAATGGGTATGGTTTGAATCACAGTTATACTACAAGTAATTCCAAAGTGGTGATGGTATGAATACTTCACCACAAAGGAGGGCAAAAAATTGCCCCAGATAATTTATTGTGCTGGCTTTAGGCTGGAATGAAAAGGGTCTGGAAAGAAAGCTTGAATGTTTTGTTTTATCATTAAAAAAAATGAAGACTCGCACTTCTCAGACTCACAGTGCAGAGACATTAGGCATGTTTGCCTTGACATTGGGTAGGGTTAATCCTATATCTTCCCTGATTCTGCTGTATGGAAACACCTATTTTCTTTCACAAAGATAACTTGTTTTTTATATTAGCAGTTATTCATATACACTTTCCTGTCAGCATTTGACTGGAACAAATTATAGTACCTTATTATCCCACATGTCAAGCAGAATAACAGTCGCACTTTCCCCATCCACCATCAGGGTTCTTTCATACGTGTCTTCTGGAGAGAAAAGCAGAAAGGTTGGTGATATATTATTGTGTTTCATCGTATACATTAAAAAATCCAAGTTGTTGAATGTGGGGGATTTGTTGGCAGAGTTATTGAGCCAAATTTTAGGCCGGCTCACATCCAGTTCTTTCCTCATTTCCATCCACACTGAATCTGCACTCTGTTCATTATTGGTTGCCTTACTTTCCATGATAGATGAAAGATCAGGAAACAAAATGTTCATTATTTTGGCTGATAGTCTCTTTATCTTATGTGGGAGAGAAAAAATAGAACCAGTGGAAGAAATAACCAAAGGCTGAACATTTGCCCCATGGGAGCAGCAGAGTCCAGCAAGGCTGAGTAATGGAAAATATTTGCTTTCGCTTTAGCATGGACAATTTACGGGTGAACAGTCACTGCAGCTGAGAGCAATACAGCAAACAGCCTACCAAGTGAGGAGGACAGGGTGTTGTGAGACAACAGCTGTTGAGTTTGAGAGAGACTGAGACTTCAGTTGCACATTCTCTCCCATTACACAGTTTCCTACATCACCTTTGATGTCAAATAGCAGAAAAATGAAAAAAGCATAGGTCAGCTATTTTGTACTGCAGCCATAAAAATTCATACCTAGATTAGAAATGCCATGTGGCAAAGTTCTGCCTAAGGGGGGATCTAAAGGGGGCTGTTGCCACTCTGAATTTTGATCAACCCTTGCTGTGAAATCTGCTTCAAATACCAATCTTCCTTCTTTTCACCAAAGCTGGGGACATTAGGATGAGCAGTGAGAAGTTTGGACCCATTTCTAATCTCACACTAGTGGCCAGTGGAAAAAAAAACAGTCTTAAGGTACTGCAGCATTTAAAGGATCTGTCCCAATCACACTTGTACATAGGGTTGTGTCTAACCTGTGCCTCCTAAGACTTCTGCTGGGCACTGATGAAGTGAACTTTCCCCTAAATTGTAATCAGAGCCTTTCCTCAAAGCTAGGGATCCACATCCCAGTAAAAGAATAAGCCAAAAATATTACACATTCAAAATAAAGTCAAATGGGGCCATGCTTAAAATGTCAAGACTAAAAAGACAGAGCTAATCACTAGGAGTGGTTTCCCTTGAGGTCCCAAGAGTATGAGGCTTGTGTTCATGAGTTAGCTTCATCTTACAGTCAGTAGCAAAGCCCCTCCATAAAAGCAGCTGTGCTTCTCTGTAAGCTGGCTACCCTGAAACTATCCTCTCATGTAATTAAATTTCCAGTGTGTAAGCTAAAGTTCCAGTTTGTAATGCTAAAGTAAATAGTTCCTTCAAGTGACTGAGCATCTGTGCAAGAACAAGCTCCATGCACACCAGAGGACAAAATCCAGAAGACTCCTTCTGCACTGCATTACATATAGAAAAGCTACAAATGCATGATCACACTCCTTGAAAATACCATGCATAAATAATCATATTCAGCACTCATTTGCACCTTGGTCAGTCCTAAGGAACTTCCATAAAATATAAAAAACACTGAAAGTGAGCACTTAGTCCATTTCATGCTGGTTTTGAAGCTGACAATAAAAAAGAGAGATAACAGCAAGACTTCCAATTATCTCTTCAGAGCTGGCCTTGAAAAATCTGTCACTGCTATACTCCAAGCAATGCTGCTGGGAGTGTGATGGAAAGAGGAAACCACACGGCTTCATATGAGGGAAAAGAAAACTGCCTGACAGGGGTGTGCAAAGCAAATCAGCTGCACTTCCTGATGGCTTGTCCAAGGATCCTACTCTACTTCAGTCATTTAGCACTAGGAAAACTTTTATCAGAGATACTCCAGGCTGAGAAGCTGGTAGAACTATGGAAAAAGTTGATGGCAGAAGCTGAAGGCAGAGCATGCCTAAATGAGTGAATTTGAAATCCCCCAAAGGCACAAACCTCTGTGTCCCCAGTCTGAGACAGCAAGTAAGGAAAATGTGTATCACACCTTCCTGATACTGGGCTTTTTTAAATCCTGGGCAAAACTTCCCCTAACTGGAGAGTTAAACACACAAAAAAGAAGCTGTCCTGCCTATGCCCCACTGAAGGCTGGAAGAGAAGCCCAGAAAACACTGGCACCATCACCCCAAGGGAATACAGGCAAGACACAAAAGGGAGAGACAAAGAAAGCCCTGCACAGTGACAAACAAAACCCATCAGCAAACTGCATGTCCCCTGAAAGCAACAGCAACTACGTCCTTGGAGACACAGCAGGTTTCTGTGGCAGCACAACCCTTCCACATCAGCATCTTGCCCACAGCATAGCTCAGAACTTGGTGCTACAGCTTCACCTTCTGCATGGTCTGATCTTTGGGATTAAAGAACACTTTGCAATCCTAAACAAAGCAAGGCAGGCAAACAAGGAGCAAGCATCAAAGAGAACCCTACAGCTTGTGTCTTTCCCCCAAGGGGCAACAGGACTTTTCCTACTCTGTTGAAGGACCTATATCTTTTATCCTCCTGGAGGAGCCCATTCTGTGCAAATAACATGAAACAAGGTTTTTACTCAAAATTTCATTTATTTTACTCAAAGTCCATACAGCCTGTACTAAAGCAATGTGTTTCTACAGAAAGGCTGAGATGACTTCTAATGGCAAATACTTTGGAAGTGACTTTTTGTTTATATATGATTTTAAAGTATTTAATTCTTGTAAAGCATGAGGACCTTCAGTTGCTTTCTCTCCCACAAGGAAAGCTGGAGTCAGCCCTGTGATGGCAGTGGTGACACAAATGTTGGACCAGCATGAAAGCTGAAGCAGACTCTTGTGTAGCATTATCACAGGTAGGAATGAGAGATTTTCAACAGGTATTTTGGAATTAATTAGTGTAGGAATCTGAATTGCTCTCTTTCAGTGGCTTTGATTCATTGTTGGAGAGTATCTTACTCATCTTATTTTGTTGTTTTCTTGTTTTCTTAAAGAAGGTGCTTGAGTTCAATCAGTTTTGATACTCACATCCAATCACTTGCTACTTCTGGTTTACATTAAACAGCCTCTCTCTTTTTCTGTGCCAATTACTACAGGCAGAGCTGGCTGCAAGCAAACCCCAACACCCAGAACACAATTACCTACCTCCCAGCACCTCACAGTCACTGTCAATGCTGTCGTGCACCCCTGCAAAGATGTTGGCCAGCGAGGACTTGCCCACGCCGTGCTCCCCGATCAGCACCACGCGGTAGCAGCTGCTGCCAGACTCGGAGGAGATGACGGAGTCGGATGACTCCGAGGACCAGCTCCTTCTGTAATATTCATCAGGACTGATAGTGTATCGTTTCTGTGGGTGGTACTCATTGGAGTCTTTCTGGACCAGCAGATTCTTTCCATCAGCAGGGATGCTCCATCGCTGCTGCTGCTGGTGCATACTGCTGTTGTGGGTGCGACGCATGGTAACATTGTTGAGAGTCATTTTCAACCCCTAGTGAAAAACAGGGAAATCACAAATGTTACCCACAAAATATTTAGAAATGCTCTCTTACTAGCTTCAAGGGGCCACATCATGCTCCTCTGTAGGGGCCTAATATGTGAGAAAAGAAAAAATTAGTTTTTCTGCACTCTAGTGTACTTGGTGATGCACAAAGTATTTGAGTTATTAGCTAGTGAGACAGAGCCTGTTTCCCAGGGATAATCCCACCTCACATGCTAAATCTTATCTTGTTTAGCCTTTAGTGGCTCCTGGCTGTGCTGGATGCAGCCCAGTCCTGGAAAGAGGGAGGCATTGCTGTGTCCCAGGAGGAGAAGGAGGGGACAGTGCTCAGCACACCAGTCCTACACAGCAGCTGCAGCCCTGCCGAGACACTGCCTGTGGTACAGGCAATGTTCACCTCCTTTTGGCATCACCAGGGACAAACAGGGACTCTGGTCTCTCTTGCCTCCAACTGCTGGTGCAGCTGGGTGTACAGCAGCTTTCTCATTGACTCAGTTAAGAGCTGAAACTCTTGGGAAAGCAGCAAGGCATCATTCACTGCACTCTTGAGACAACCCTAGTACAAAAAGTCATGCAAGCAAGCCTTGCCATGATGGGTGGATTTGGGTCTTGTCTGTGGCCAGGTAAACAAAGAATGATTCTGCCTCAGACAGTGACTTTTTGGCTGGTAAGAGGAGAATGTAGTGAAATCCAACAGCTCTTCTGAGGAGGTATAAGTTATAGCTTCTACAGGAGATACAGCTGGGAGTAAAGGCTCATTAATTTATAGATATTAAATCAATAACTTCATTACCACACAATTAATTAGTTAGGTTCACTCTTCTTACATAATCATAGCTCTTAATTATAATTTACTCAGCAAACTCTATTTTGCCTTGCTTGGAGGCAGAGAAGAGTGATGTCATTCTTACAGGCCAATACCTACCATTTTTAGGAAAGTTACTTTGATGCATTCCAGCTCCCAAAGTGACCATTATTTAGACATTTTCCTTTTTGCCCTATATCTGATGTTTCTCGGCTCCCTCCTCCATTTCAGTAAATAGGCTAATTGTCCATAAAATTCACCCAAGCACTTTCAAACCTCAATTATAGGTCATGAACAATAAAAAGAACAGTAAAGCAACAGGTACAAATTGCTGTTCTTCTTCATACAAAACTGTCTGAAAACTTCTATGAATAAATTCCCAGCAGGACCTAGGACAAATATATAGAAAAAGCACTGTCTGAATTTACTACAGAATACACAATATTTTCTCTGGGATGTGCAGTACTTTGGAGCAAAAGGAGATCGTTTACATGGTCCTAGTCACAGTAACTTTGTCAGCAAGAAATACATCTAAAGAAGAAATCACGCACTAAGCAAAGGCTTCTTCACAAAAAAAATTAAATATTTACTGTGGTTGAATTCTAAAATGCACTTTTTCCTTGCAGTATGCCCATTGAAAAGACCAGATGAAAAAAGCCAGATCTGATTCAGTCAAACGGCAGAGAGTAACTCACAACCTGCAACAAGCAGTCACTCACAAAACCACCACAAACACAAACATTTTACAATTTAGCCTCTAACAAATTGTCATCCCTTATTATAAAAAGCCAAACGAGTCCCTGTCACCCCCTGTGCTCCGAGCTCAAACTGGTTTTGCCACCCCATACTGCATTCAGCTGCCTGGGTCTCCAGCACCTCCAGGAAAAGACTGGGTCCAAAAGCACTCTTACTTGTGCCAGGCTCCGGCAGCCAGAGCAGTCCTTTGTTCCTGCCCTTGTCCCTCGCTGCGCTGTGGCACACTGAGCAGCTCTGCCGAAGTCAATCCTCCCCTGCTCTGGGACTGCCGCTTTAATTCTTTCTCAGCAAACCTGGTTTATATTAAGCCCATCTGATCAGAGACAGGGCTTTTCCGTGACGTGGCTGGACTTTCCATACAACAGCCAGCCCCCAGCTGGGGGAAAGCAGACATGCAGAAGAGAAAAACTTCTCTCAAAACAATCTCAAAAGACTTACTCAAAATCATGTGATTGTTTTAATATTGCCAGTAAAATAAACACTTTTGGTTCTTGCATGATGAAAACAGGAAAGTGGAACAAAAATAAATAATACATGTCATTTAGCCTCAGAGAGCTTTTAATTCAAATGTTATCAAAATTAATGATGATTTAAAATTTACCTAAGTTTATTTAATGCATGAACTTCTGTAAATGTATTATGTATCTGTTCTCTGTCTGCAAAACACACTTAACCCCCTTCTGGACAAAATATTTCTCTAGAATAAAAAATCTGAATGTTATTTGAAATTTTTTAGAAGTAAGAATATTATTCTAGGGGCTTTGTTGGGGTATTGTTTGTTTCTTTGTTTTTAAAACTCCAATATTAACAAACCTGTTATTCTCTCTCAGCCTCCAAGTGACTGTACCCAGTTTCCTGAACTGTACAACCATCTCTCTTTCCCTTCTGCTCCAATATTTAATTACCAAGGGCTTGAAAAGACATCCAACTATGAATTCAGTGTTACTGCAGCTGGATGTTGGCAAAGATGCATCAGAACACACAAAGTCTGCATAAAGTCACACAGTGTTGACACTGTGTACAGGAACAATCACTATATAGTGTACATACCACAAACCCAGGGTCTGGTCCTTAGATTTTTATAACCTCACAGCTGATTGGTAGAAGAAATTTTGCCAGAAGGCAAGAAATCCAAACCTGTTGTAACTTGTAACAACATACTTCTTCATTAGCAAAGGAAGAGTAAGAAACTGTGACAGAACTACTTGCTAGGGCTACCACAACTTCTATATAAGTATACACAAATCCTGTAGCCAGCTCCCAGTTATCCAGACTGGATTAAATATAATGAGGTCCTACCGCTTTCTCTTATATTTACATATTTACATTTTATATTTACATTTATATTTACAATCTCCTGGTCCCTGAATCTGATAGGACAAGTTCTTATCCTAGAAAGTATGAACAACTTTGGCTTTAAACAGAGGGAATTTTTTTTTTCCATTCTACAGGCAAGCAAATCTTTAACTGACAATGTACCTTTATTGAAGGGAACGCTGATGTGCAGAAAACATCTCTTGCTAACACTGTAATTGAAATCTCCTTGCTTTGTTTCCCCTTTGGCTTTATTGCATTCCTGTGTCTTTCATGAGGGTTTTCAGGGACCTCTTGAGCCATTCTCAAGTTTTAAAAGCCTAGAGCTTTTCACAAACTAATAGGTACTCATCAATGTACATGAAAATTATGCAGATCTACCAAGGGTAGAATTGAGCAAAAATATGCCCTGATTTTCCTTCATGTGTATTTCAGTGCTTGGCAGCAGCTAAACTGGCCCCAGGTCCTGATTGTCACCTCACCTGTCTCTTGCTCCTCAGGCTCTGGGCCTCTGCTACTGAGTGATAATCCCAAAGAACACAAAGTGCCACATCCCTCTGTGTAGGTTGTACAGAGGGGCTTGTAATACCTACTGCACAAAATGTAACTACATCTCTGTCCAGGAAGGATTGTGGCATGGACAGTACTTTGCAAAAATACCTTTCCTGTTGGCATACCCAACTGTAGTTGCTTGTTTTTTTGAAACATGCTGGGAACCATGAAGGTGAGTGGGTGGTTGGAGTACTATGGACCTCAGGTTTGCATAGCTCTGTGTAAGTTGTCTGTAATTTGTCACTGCTGAGTAAAAAAGCAAAACCTGTCCACTGCAGGACTGGAGAGATTTATGGCCAGAGTGATTGCAGCAGAACTGCAGGCTCTAATGTCTCACCCAAATGTTTAACATATATCACAGCAGAAAGTGCAGACAGAAGAAATAAACCAAAGTCAAAAAAGCCTTTGTGTTTAGTTGTAGTTACTGTTAGATTAGGAATTGCTAGACATCATCTTTCATATCCTCTCTCTAAAATTCAAGACAGACAAAGAAAACACATCTCTCCAGAACCACACAATGTATCTCTTCCCTAAAGCCATCCAGAACAGTTGTCCCACCATGGCATGAAGCACTTGTACTTGGGGAACTTGCACGTGTGTTTTCCTTTGTATTGTCTCTTCTGAGCCTATTCGGGTTTTCCAACTGGACAATTCACTCTCCAGGTCCCATTCTGCACTACACACCCACAGGGTGTGGCATTGCTGCTCCTCAGGGAATGCCACCAGCACTCATGAACTTCACTCACTCCATCTGTGGGGGAAACACTTTCTTAACTGTTTTTAAAGCTGGGGAGAGATGCAGCCTTTTTAGCCTCTGGGTACTTACTTACAAGGGATAACAGCAGGCTGATCACTGAAATATATGAACTGGGTCCTTCTCAGGGACAAAAACAATCCCCCAGATTGATGGAGACTGGTGCAGTCCTTGTCTGTTCAGCCCTTTTGCACTCTTTGCTGGTCAACACTTCTGCAAGTCTCGTGCCTGCCCAAGCTCAGGCACGAGAAGAGACAAACCAAAAGGCCAGCGCTGTCGCAAAGCACACGAGTGCTTGAACGTAACTGCCTGGTGCAACACCAACAGTCAGGGCCATTGTTTTTCTTCCATCTTATCCACTCTCTGTTTCATTAATCACATCTTAAAGGAATTCTCCCTGCAGCCAGGATGAAGTAAACATTGCAGAGTAGCGGTTCTGCAATCCTTCCCCAGCCAATTACAATTAGACCAGGTGATGCCCAGAGCAATTAGGCAGAAATTTTCCATTGGATATAAAAGCAGTGCTTTTTAGCTGACACTTAATTAGCCAGTTTGAATTTATATATATGATGGCAAAAGTAGTTTCTCAAACCTTCTGGTGTAAGGGTTGTCCACAGAGAGGACATAAACCATCTCGGAGTGGGAGGGAAATTCATGAGAGGAAAAAAATTTTAAAAAGCAGGAAAAACAAAATTAAGATTTCATTCAATGAAAACTGAATGCAGCACGTTTGAAAGTGCACTTTCTCCCCATGCAACCAGCAGAGAAGTTCACCTTCATCTTTCCCCTCAGAAGGCCTGACTGAGTAGCCT